GGGGGGTGACCCCCAGAGGTTGGTGGGACCCCGTGGACACATCGGGGGTGGGACTGGGGGGGCTGGGTCAGAGGGTGGGTGGTTTATTGGTCAGTTGGGTGGTTCATTGGTCAGTTGATTGGTCAGTTCATTGGCCAGTTGGGTGGTTGATTGGTCAGTTGGGTAGTTTGGTGGTCATTTGGGTGGTTGATTGGTCAGTTCATTGGCCAGTTGGGTGGTCAGTTGTTGGTCATTTGGGTGGCCCATTGGTCAGTTGGGTGGTTCGTTGGTGAGTTGATTGGTGAGTTGATTGGTCAGTTGGGTGGTTTATTGGGTGGTTCATTGGTCAGTTCATTGGTCAGTTAGGTATTTCATTGGCCAGTTGGGTGGTTCATTGGTCAGTTGGGTAGTTTGGTGGTCATTTAGGTGGTTGATTGGTCAGTTCATTGGCCAGTTGGGTATTTCATTGGTCAGTTGGGTATTTCATTGGCCAGTTGGGTGGTTGATTGGTCAGTTGGGTAGTTTGGTGGTCATTTAGGTGGTTGATTGGTCAGTTCATTGGTCAGTTGGGTGGTCAGTTGTTGGTCATTTGGGTGGCCCATTGGTCAGTTCATTGGTCAGTTCGTTGGTCAGTTCACTGGTCAGTTATTGGTCATTTGGGTATTTCATTGGTCAGTTGGGTGGTCAGTTCTTGGTCATTTGGGTGGCCCATTGGTCAGTTGGGTGGTTCATTGGTCAGTTCATTGGTCAGTTGGGTATTTCATTGGTCAGTTGGGTGGTCAGTTCTTGGTCATTTGGGTGGCCCATTGGTCAGTTGGGTGGTTCATTGGTCAGTTCATTGGTCAGTTCATTGGTCAGTTCACTGGTCAGTTGTTGGTCATTTGGGTACTTCATTGGTCAGTTGGGTCACTGACCAACGAGTCACCGGTCACTCCCCGCCCGGGTGACCGCCCAGTGACCTCTGTCCCCCCTTGCCCTGCCCCCGCAGCGACCCGAACCAGCCGGTGCCGCAGGACACCAAGTTCATCCACACCAAGCCCAACCGCTTCGAGGAGGTGGTGTGGACGCGCTTCGACGGCAAGGACAAGCGCTACCTGCACATCGGCCTCAAGCCGCGCGTGCGCGACCACTACCGCGCCAACAAGGTGGCCTTCTGGCTGGAGCTGGTGCCGCACCTGCACAACCTGCACCAGCTGCCCCACGCCTCCACCACCACGCGCCTGCCGCCGCCGCCCGGCCCCCCGCGCCGGCCCCCGGCCACGCGCCGGCCCCCGCCGCCCGCCACGCCGCCCGACCGCGCCGAGCGCCGCCACCACGACGACGACGACGACGACGACGACGACGACGACCCCGGCGGGCGCCGCCGCTTCGCGCCCTTCCCCGGCGACTCGCGGGACTACTCCACGGAGCTCAGCGTCACCGTGGCCGTGGGCGCCTCCCTCCTCTTCCTCAACATTTTGGCCTTCGCCGCCCTCTACTACAAGCGGGACAAGCGGCCGCCGGAGCCGCGCGCCGGGCCGGGGGTCCCGCGCCGCCTCAGCCCCCCGCCCGCCGCCCGCGGCGCGGCGCCCAACGACCTCCTGGGCCACGGCGCGGCCGCCGAGGAGGAGCTGGTGCAGCTGCAGCTGAAGCACCCGGGGGTGGCCCCGGGGGTCCCGCTGGGCGTGGGGGAGCCCCCCGAGGCGCGGCCGCCCCCCGGCCCCCCGGACTACACGCTGGCGCTGCGGCGCGCGCCCGAGGACGTGCCCCTGCTGCCCCCCAACACCATCACCATGGTGCCGGGGGG